AGGTTGCTCCAGAACTTGTTACATGCACTCCGCCAATGACAAGGGAATAATGGTTTGAGGAATAGAAGGAGTTCACTTTAATGTTCGATGAAAGACCTCCAAACGAATTTTTCGGTCACGCGTGATCGATGACAGAGACAGACTCGTACGCGACATGGAATGCGGATGGCAATTGCCGCTCAACCACACGCCAAGCAAGCAGAATTTATCTCGACTGTGTAAGTCAAGATAAATTTGATTGCACTGATTTTAACATATTAATTAATATAAACTCTAAAAAATAACAGAGTTTTGAATCAGCTTTGTAGGCTATGCATGTAATAGCAATCGAAGACGTACGAGTATTCAAGACTGCGCAGTAAAAACAGCTTCGTGAGATGAAGTTTCGTGCACTGCACGAAATGCGTCAAGACTGATTTGAGCTAATATAGTGACTTACGTTATTCTCTGCGTTCAATCCTATTAGTGAAGCGACTTAAAATTTACTAATCGTCGCTTGCTTATTTGGAAACTGACAATTCCTGATAGGTCCAACAATGCTCGAATAATCACTTAGTCTATATACGAAAATTATTTCTCGAATTTTGACTGCAAAATTCATGCTTTCACTTGGGAAAGAAGTGAAAGATGGACGACTCCACATGTGACACAAAACACAACGATTCTAGCAGCGACATAGGCTGCGTTACCATGGCAACATTGACGCTTCACCATGGCAACATGTGGCTACTTCTCAGTCGCAAAAACAACCAATTTTGAAACCAAAACATAAATAATTTATAATAAAAAACATATCATTAGGGCTTAAAGACATTTAAGCTTCAAATCCAATTAATCTTAATCTATTTAATTATTTCCATACAATTTCTTGTCAATTTACAATTAGAATCAATTTAGAATTCCAGTACATCATCACGTCAGTTACAAAGCGTTGTTCTCACTCTCAAAAATGCTACTGTTGGGATTCGCAGGCCGAACCAATGATTTTCTATGACGAAAAAAGGGGGTTCAAGGATCTCCAATGGTTACTGCGTGATGGTGCTTCCACTGCAGCTCGAACAAGGCAATGGCGTGGTATCTTACCTCGATAGATCGTAATATTTAGCAAGAGCGGTGAGCTCATTTCGGGCAAATTTTTTGAGCGCCAGGTAAAGAAAGGGATTCTGGTGGCACACGCTTGAAATTTGGGAGATGTTTACAAAATGTGCTAAACCATTGTTACTGAATTATAATGTTAATCTTGATGAAACCGTGGACGTTATTCAATTTTTAGTGAATCCAAGCGATGCAATAGATATAGGGCTCGTTTAATAATAATACATAGAAAAAGCGGCATCAGCTTTTATTAAGCCTGTCAGCGATTCTTAATATCGGAGAATATTCACAGCTTGTTTCGTTCTCGAACACGCAACTCACTGCTTCAATTTTGATTAGCTCAACCGCCCGACCTCCTCGCTGATTCCGACCAGAAACGGGCGCAGGTATCTGGGATGCAACCCGCACCTCTCTGCTCCAGTCTTAATTCTCCGAACTGTATAACCACCGGGCCACTCTGCATTGTAATCATTTTAGTTACCTCGGTTTCAACATTCCTGATCGTCATGTAATCCAGCGTTATATTTGGCAATGAATCAGTTTGGATTGGAGTGAAATATTCTAAAATCTATATCCTCATAACGAAAATTTTGACATAATTCGTGTCATTGTCAGACGATAAACTTTTCACTATGAGGTTTAGAACGTGGTGCTGATCTCTTTGCTATAACAAGATTTTAAATGAGCTCAATATTTTCTGACGACTGTTATAAGAAAGTAGAAAAGTATTAATCTATACACGGTTATCAACCTAAATAAATTGCAAAATATTTCATGCGATGATTTTGTTCCAGAAGAGACGGAGATTCGTCCTTTAGTTGGACCTCGCCGTCAGGCCACACGGCAAGCTGCTAGTTTATGTAATGATAAGGTGGCTCAGAAGTTAAAGTTGAGTACTAGGATTGGAGCAGAGGAAAGGGTTCGATCCCAGCTCTGTGCGACAGTTTCTGGTCATAATCGGCAGGGAGGCCGGGCGGTTAAGCAAAGCAAAATTGGACAGTGAGTTGCGTGCGTGTTCGAGACCGCAACAAGCTGTGAATATCCTCATTGTGCCAGCTAGCGAATCTGTAGATCGCTTCTGCAGACAAAAAAATATTGACTCAAGAGCCACATTTAGAGGATTAGTCCTTAGCACTTCATCGTGGAGTGCGATCGAATTTTTCAATTTTGATTTATCTTCCACCGTTGTTGAATTAGCGAACAAAAAAAATCGATGACTTCCTGGTGAATTTTTCGTGACTTATTCGGTACATGCGGACCCAGAACAGTATCGCCAACGTATAATAAGAGGGCGCATGCCTGAGGCCAGCTTTGCCAAACTTCACACTTCTTCATAATCCAGTGGGCAAGAACATTTGAGGCCATAACACCCTATGAAGTAACTATGCCAATGAAGGCATAGTTGCCTATGAAGTTCACAGCAACCACTTGAGCATGCCGAAGATAATCATGTCCATACTGCATCTGGCCAAACTTCTTCCGGACTAACCTCTTCTGGCCTTACCTACACAAGTTGCAACATTTCTTCACTTTAATTAAACAAACCTGAGCGGGCATAACCTAACCTCATTGGCTGCAATAAGTTAGAAAGGCTGATCGAGTTTACTGGTAGAACCAGTCATTGGTTGCATGAAGGTTGTGAGCCGTGATAGCATGAATATGTTAGGCCAGAAGAGGTTAGGCCGGAGTATGTGCAGCCGGATGTGGAACTGCCTGCTTATGAACGAGCATGCTCAAGTATTGGCTGAAGACCTAAAGTGAAATTATCTTTGATCAGTGTGTAACTGTTGAAGTCGTGTGTTGAAGTCGCGTTTTCGTCGTGTGTAACTGTTGCAGCGTATCCTGCGGCTTCTTGGTCTGTGGCTGAATACACGTATCGCATGCTCAGGCTGGGCGTTGGCTCCACGGCTTACTTAAGAGTTAAATTTGTGGCCAACAGCTGTGCTCCCGCATGAAGGAATTTCTGTAGGTTCTGATCGTCGAAGTGAGAAATTCACTGTGCTGAACTCCCGCGACAGCAGCCGGCGTCGGCCGGCAGCCAAGTCATCTCGGATCTTGAAAATGCCAATGGATGTTCCAGTACCGTCCCGCTCAGAGGCGTTGAGCCGGCCGGAGTACTAGTTTCAGATCATCTTCTGAAAACTGATCAGCACTCCCAGCCTCTCACTACAAATGTGCTGAAATTAAATGAGTGAACACTAAGATCGAGTTTTCTGGCCATCTCCGTGGAGTGATTGGCTTCACAAAGTTTGTGACCGTGTAAACTAAGGATATATAAGTAAATTTTCATAGTTACCGTTTCACTGCGAAGATTTTAAATGAAGCCTCGATAATTTTCCAACAATAGTTGCTCTTGAATGTACAGTTCAATGAGATTACCTGATTTGAAGCGGTCTGGTAAATTGGCTAGGTAACTTAATAGTTGACCAGATTGATATTCTATATGCTCGATTGCTTTATTTTCATTTTGTGTTTAAATATTTCTGCATGGACCGAGAATATCTACCAACAATCGAGGTGCGGATGGTGCCTCCAAGCCAAGTGTATAGTTGGTGCTCCTAAGCGTGGTTGGTGCCCCCAGGTGTGTGCGTAGTGCCCCAGGTGTAGTTAGTGCCCCCATGGAAGCATGGCTGAGGTATGAAGAACAACAGAGAAGAACCAAAAATATCATTAGAAATCATATTGTTGGGTATGAGCAAAATAGAATAAATGAATTTGTTATGAAGGGACAGAGAGGTGGACGCGAATGGTATGCCTTCCTAAGAGGGGACAAGAGGAAAAATGATCCGAGAGTGGAGGGGCTGAATGTAGGAGTACGTATGCAACTAAGAGAACAATGTTGGTAGAGGCTTTGAAGAAATTCTGGGGGAAGACATTGGTGGGATGAATGACTTATTTACGCCAGGCGAAAATGTTCCAGTAGAACGTAAAAATCTGAGTGACATAGACGAAGAAATTACAAATGAGGAAGTGAAACGAGTGATAGAGCGACTGAAGAATAATAAGGCAACTGGAATGATGAGATACCGTATGAGATGTATAAGCATAGAGGTGAGAGTGCAATTGGCAGACTGACTGAACTATTCAATGTTGTTTGTTATGTGTGTTAGTTTTAGGGATTTTTAGGATTTAGGATTGCTGAAAAATCCTAAATGCTAAAAATTTTTAGGATTGCTGTGAATACGTTTTTATTGAACTTTTTGTTAACATACGGTTGTGAAATTTTAATTTTTTGACACTAGTAAAAGAGCTTTTATGTAGCGTGTATGACCGGTTTAAAGGTCGTGACCGGAGGTCAGCACGCACCCAATTCCAAACGTTCTATAGTCTATATGCTTACTGGTAGCATGGCTAAAGATCCTAGTGTTAACGAGTTCAAGAACAGACTAGAACCTCATAAATTTGTGGATAATCAACAGTCACTTAGGCAATGTGGTCCAGTGGTAACAGTTCCGAGTACCGAGGTTAGAGCAACAAGCGTCGGACTGTGGAACAACGCAACAGGCTGTGAATGTTCTGCTATGTTGAGAATCGGCGAAAGGTTTAACGGTCTCATTAATGCTGACACCGCTATGCTATACCACCTACTAAGCTACCTTCAACAACATTACGAGAATCAGCGACAGGCCAAACATGGCATATTTTCCAACGCAAATATAACTATACTTAGTTTACTCTACTCATGTAGAGCAAACTAAAGTAGAGTAGAGTACCTAAACTTAGTTTACTCTACTCATAATCAAAAGTACGATCTGTGGTGTGAAGCTTCTCATGATCTAATAATATTAATGTGTGTATAAAAAAATCTCACATGTTTTAGGGTAAAATTTGAGCGTACTTGCCTCTAGTTCCAAGAAAATTACCCAGTCGAGGGGACGCCGCCAAACATTAAAGTGAGTGTTAAACGTTAGTTCTGCACGAGTCTACCGAGTCGGTGATCATCGGAGTCTCTGTGTCGGCGTAAAATTTGCTATCGCATTGTACTAAATATAAAAATATATATTTTTAATTGATTTCGCAAGCATGTTGGACTCTCTTACTCCCGTTATCACAGAAGATGAGGCTGCGCTCTATGATCGTCAAATTCGTTTGTGGGGTTTAGATTCGCAAAAAAGGTAAGTTTTGTTTACAATCCCTATTTCAGTTGAATTAGAAAATAATATAGATTCAAGATTTCAAGTTGTTGCTTTAATCAATAAGCTACCAATTACCAATAGACAGTTCATTTTCTATTAAGTTGTCGAAATTAAAGAGTTTTTCCTCGTAATTTTTTTCTTATTGCCATCAAATTGATATGCTAGGTAGTAGGTACGGTACCCTACTCATGTGTAGGTAGCTATGATGATGTGACAGCTCAGCTCCCAATCGCCAATCCCATCACTGTCAGGACTCAGGCCTATGCACAAAATTGGGCAGAAACCACCATATTATGATGGCTTTTTTAAAATTTATTTGGTGAAAAATGAGTGAATCACTTCACTCATGAGTCATGAAATTCTTTTTATTTTTACTTGCTAATTTTGCAGTTAAAAACAATAAATTTGAGAAACTTCTAAGACCACCACTATAATTTAATAAACTTCAAGAATTTAAAAATCTTCTGCATAGTATGGTATTTGAAATTTCTATACAAAATATTTAGCAGAATTTTCAAATGTTGAATACCACCAATTGCAGTGAGTATATATTGAGTTATATTTTTTACTTATGGCACCTTTCAAGTAGCATATGGAATGTTTGTGCATATGCCATACTATAACCATCGCAAATACCTTCAAAATGAGCCTAAACTTGTCTATGAAAGGTTTCATGGTATAAATTAACAATAAAAATGAGAAAAATTGTCCCTTATTACCCCATTTGACGGTACATTGCCAACTTGTCTCATCACTCATGTTGCCAGGCTTTAGTAGAAACAATCCATGTTATTAATAGAACTTTGCATTGACAACTTGATCATAAATTTTCTACTGTCAATCCTGTTGTCTAGTTATTATGTAGTAATCAAAATTAAAAACTTTAGTTCTGGCCTGTAGGACACAATCAGAAAAAAGTTTATTACAAAAGTCTCATGGCTCCAAAGTGAGATATTTTCATAAATTTTGGAGTCTTGGGACTCAATCATGCACTTTTGTTATAAATTAGATGAGAGATAACTCATCTTGTGTGAGTTGGTGGGAAAACTCTAGTTTTAGCTATTTCAACACCTGCAGTAGGATGTTTTTTCATTGTTGATTGACAAGTCAACTGTCAAGTGCAGTCTCTGCTGTGTGGCAACTCATTTGTCATCATGGTTCTCATACTGGCAGAGCAAAGACTTTTTATCTCTTAAAGTTATTTATGTTACTGTTATTGATATTTGGTCATATCACAGTTACATATTTAATATGAATTTCAATTCTTAGGAGTTGTATAATTTTTCAGTTTTATGTAATCATTTAGGTGATAACTTGTCTAATATCAATGCCACTTTACTCACCACAATACCGATGTTGTCAGCAGGCTTGGCTTTCAATAGAAACACTTTATTTTATACACAAAGCTTGACCATAAATTTCTAGCAAGGTCCAGGTGGCACTGTGACAGGCAAGCTTGGTACCTTATTCTAGTGACTGAATCCCAATCTAACATGTAACAGCTGGTATTTCTTGGAACGGGGGTACTGTTTACTTCTCGATCTCGTTGTGGCAACAGCAATCGGAAGCCATTGCGGTTACCATTGTGAACCTGTGATACAAAACATTAATCGAATCAAAAGTAGAACATTCAAACACAACAAACTTTGAAAATACTTAATACATGCCATATCGGGCCCAGTGTAGTCCGTAAATTACGAAGTTATGAACGCGTCTGAAAATGAGTCGGGCAAAAAATTTGTTTGCCACCATGGGGACAGTGGAATTGACATTAGTCACTGCTTGAACAGTATATAGATATTTGCCTCTGCTATGTCAGCAACTGAAGGTGTGGGAAGCATCTACTCTCAAAGCAGGAAGTTTGATATATAACCAAGTGAACACATCAAAAATCCTGAAACTATTCATATTATTCATTACTTGGCTGATATTTTGGAATAGACCAAATTTCTAGGTGGGTCAAGTAATGATTTCTTTAATATAGTATGATCCATTTTATCTTGAATTTCACTCACATCCAATAATCATGCATTGAATCTGCTGTGCCAATCCAACAAATTTGCTTGTAAAAGTATCTTGATTCATATATATCAATAATATAAGTTTTCTTTCTTAAATTGAAAATAAATCCTTAAAATCATTTGACTTTTTTCAGATTACGAGCCTCAAGTGTTTTGGTGTGTGGGCTATGTGGTCTGGGTGCAGAGATCACAAAGAACCTGGTGCTGGCGGGCGTAAAGAGTATCACTCTCATGGACCACACGGATGTCACCAATCTTGATGTTGTTGCTAATTTTTTAGCTCCACATGACTCAATTGGAAAGAATGTGAGTGAAATATTTATCTTGATGAATATCTTTGCACTTTTTTGGTCATAATCTTGCTTGTAGTAATAGATAATTTTTTATTAGCTCTTCATTGCTCTTCAATGGGATATTATTTGCCAAAAAAGGTCCAGTTTTTGACAGTGCACTTAATTATAGGAAGCAGTAAGTGTATCTTGATTCTGGAAACTGTGTTTAAATCAAATAAAGAATTAGGTCATAACAACTGTACTTGTCTCAGCTGTATATTTAACATGGTTGTGAGAAATGAATGTACACTCATGCAAGCAGCATCTCGTTTTGTGACATAATTTTGAAAATAAAATAATGATTAGGTCATAAAGGTATTTCATAATATATTGATTATTCAGTTATTGTTTTATTACTGTAAATAGTTCATATATAGAAAAAAAAATGTGTGTTGTGAATAGGTTTCTTTGTTATTGCAACCATTCCACAGAAAATAAAAGCAACGCTGTGCCCTCATCTAATGACAAAGAAGCAGCAGTACCTATACTAATAGAGATTTCCTGTAAGATTCCTCTTTAGCAATGAGATTTGCAGGAAAGCTGGCATTTTGACAAAACTACAGCTAGTAGCACATGACACATAAGGATGCAGTGCATAGCTTATACCGTGTTGTTGGTGATGAGCCCCATTGTCTGGGTTGCAATCAAGACCAAAACAAATTCCATTTGACACGAGTTGACACAGGGTCTAGCATATAAAAGCAACAGCTTGCTGCTATAAGTCCAGTGTCAGGCCCATATGTGATCCAGACTTGAAGACATGACCTTCAAACCCATCCAAGTCTCACACTTCATGTGAGCACACTCTGATTAATTAGCTATGGTCATATTTACAAAAACATAAGAGAACTCCTTCATTGTGGAAAATAGGATAAAGTGAGAATTTTCTTATTTGTTTTTGCCTTTTTCATGTCATCTGGGATTTAGCCATCTATGTTAGTTTGAACTGATATATATTAATAAATTACAAAACTAAAAATTGTCAATATATGTAGTGAGATTCAATTTTTATATCCTTTACAGATTGCTGAGGCATCCAAGGAGAGAGCTCAGAATTTGAACCCAATGGTTCAAGTCTTGTCTGATACAGAAGACTTGGCCACGAAACCTGGCTCATTCTTTGGCGAGTTTGACGTGGTGGTTGTGGCACGCTGCTCAGACAAGGATCTGCTTATCAAAATCAACGATTACTGTCGAAGCAGTGGCGCTGTGTTCTATGCCGCTGGTGTACATGGCATGTTTGGTTACATGTTTGTTGATCTCAACCAACACAATTATGTGGAGTGAGTTCTTAAGCTTATTTTTTTTTATTTCAGAATTCACTGTTTATTGGTTATACTGTTGAGCAAACTTACAAAGGAAAATGCTTCTCTAAACCTGTATTTGTTCATAATAGATTTGTTTATCCAGTAGCACACTACACCTTTTCCCCAATGTGGCTCAAAGCAATTTGAATTGCCAAGATAAAAGTAAGAATAATTCTTAACTTCAGTATTTTGTGTGTTATTTGCAGAGAACAGAAAGAGTTCACGGAAGTGGTGGTTAATGGCGAGAAGCAGAAAACTGAAGAAACTAAAATGGTGAAGAGAAATGAATCATTCCTGCAGCTGAGCGCAGCACTAGACGTTGACTGGACATCTCCCAAATATTCCAGCAGATTAAAGAGAATCAGTGCTGGCTACTTCATCATGCACGGTAAAGATACTTGCATGCTGAATTGTTAGGCTTGGCAGCTTTGATATTATGCTGCAATAACATTTTGCTGTCTTGCACACAACACAAGCTATGGTACCTGCCAAAATGCTTCAGCTCCTAAAGCTCTGCTATTTTATTTTGGCTCAAAATTTTTTTTCTCGGGTTGTTGATGAAAATTTAATGTATGAAGTGGCTTGCTTTTTTTTCTCCTTCATTGGTAAAGTTGCATATTATTTGTTGATCATTTTCTCCGGCATGGAAGTATTGAATGGTAATAGCTTTAAATAAATTTCAGTTTTGCTGGAGTTCCATGCCCTGCACCATCGCCTGCCAGCACCATCGATGCGCGAGGCAGATCGCTGCGAGCTGCTCACCATCAAGCGCTCTCTGCTGGCAAAAATGGAGGTTCCTGAAGATAAGCTCGACGATGCTTTTGCCGAGTAAGTTCTTGTTTAAATCAAGTATTAACAAGTAATTTGTTCTCTAGACACTTAGGGTCATTGAGGACAACTCAAGTAAAGTCTTATAAAATTAACCAAGATGCTCAAGAATTAACGTTTTGTGGTCGCAGGAATGATTTCTCAACTGATCAGAATTGCACTCTGCTGAATAGTGTAGTCGCACGTAAGCACCGAACTATCATCTCCAAGACGAGCAGTTCAATTAAGTGTAGAGCGTAGTGCAGTAACTTGTTTTTTGCAGACCCGCACCATCAGGCGAAAAAATAAACTTAGCTTCATTTCAACTAATGACTGACCACTCTCGAGTTGGGCGCCTTTGCCTAATAAAAAGCGTTGTTGACAATTACCGAAACAATGTCTCTGCTGGTAACAGGATAGGATATATTGTCTGTTTAGGATATTTTGTTTGTTTAGGATATGTTGTTCCTAATGACGTCGCCGAAGTATCCGTTGAATAATTTTCCTGGCGATCACTTTGCAGCGTCTGCACTGGTATTTGATTTTATTAACGAACACACGTATTCTGCCGCTGAAATTGTCGTATATGACACAATGACTGGCTTTCTTTAACCATGATAGATTTTTTTTCACCAAAGAATGGAGTTTTCGATTTCGAAATTAAAGGAATCATTCATGCTTTCACTTACTGGTCAATGAAATTTAAAAGTATATTGTTTTGTCGAATAAAAACGTCTCATTTCAATTAATATTATTTTGCAATTATGTATACGTTTTTAATTTCTACTTTTTCAACTTAATGACCAGGGCCTATACTTTAAAAAAAAGTTAATAGATCGTAAGTTCATCAGCCAATCATTGACGGCCTGTCCGGCAAAATCCACCAATCATGGACAAGAAAATAGAGCGAAGTACTTACGTTCACTTAGCGAATTTTGAAAGTATAGGCCCAGATCTCGCAGAATGGTATATTAAAATCAATTAAATAAATAATCCTTCAGGTTAGTCTTCGGCCAAGTGTCGCCCGTGTGCGCCATCGTGGGAGGTGAGGTGGCTGCCGAGGTCATCAAGGCCGTCACAAAGAAGGACCCGCCGCACAACAACTTCTTCTTCTTCTCCACCCTGGAGGACGGGGCCGGCATTGTTCAGTGCATTGGGGCATAGCAAGCACCGCGCTATAATTTACTTGGTCTAATGTCTGCACCGATCACTTTTCAGCCCAGATATCTTTTGAATAAATTGTGCGGATGATAAATTTACTAGCTTCTTTCGAGCTCAAGTCTGACAACTCAACGACATTTACTAAATACATTGAACTATGGATGAAACATAGTATTCACCGATAATGTGTCATTTCATCAATGTCACGTGACGTCCCATTGTTCATGTCTAATCACATTTACGTTAATAACATCAGGAGAATGAAAATACGAACGATGAATCATCTTTTCTTTTTCCGTTCCGAGAGCAGCTTGTTCCACGGGCCTCTTGGTACCAGAGATCTGAAGTTGCCAAGCGGATAGCCTGAAACGTGAGATTTATGTAATCAGTAATTATGTAGAAAGACTTACGAATGTCGAGGTTTGATCTTTCAAACAACGTTGGATTTAATAGCCTGCCTCTCGAACGTGCTTTATGTATGCGGAGAAAAACGAGGCAAGAAGAATAGTACATCCTTCTTAATTATCGTTCAATTAAAATTTTGTGCGTCAACCTCCGGCAGGCATGCTAAGCATACTACAAAGGCATCCTGTCAACAAGATTAGCTGCCAATAGTTCACTGGAATATTTTTCAGAATATGCGCTCGGCTGCCTCTGTACAAGATAATTTCGATTCGAAAAGGTGCGAATGAGCAACTAAATTGGTCGACTAAAATTATAAACGAAATACTCTAGCCTGAGAATCATAAAGCCATGTTCGTCATAATAGAAAACATTACGTTGGCTTACCATCGTAGAATAATCGGTCGAAGTTGGGAGGCAGGAAGATGGCTGGCAAGACCAGCGCGTTGACGGTGTCGTCCAGGAGAGGACAGAAGCATCTTGGCACGAGGATGTGAAGGCGATTTCTGGATGTGTCCACGCCTCGAACAACGGCCCATCCATGCAATGTGTAAATTGTGGACTTCAAATCAGAAAACGTGGTAAGCCGCACATCTCCTGCTGATGATTCATCAGCAAGCATCCCATCAGGGCTTATAGTTGACGCGGATGAAGCTTTTTTGCTGGAATCACTTGAGCCGAACCCCATTTTGTGAACAATAACTTTTGGTAGTCCTGGACCAGAACTCCGTATGAGGTTCTGATCCACTGAGCAGAGAGCTACTATACCCCGTCTAACTAGCGTATCCAAGACGTGAGACGGGGCAATATTATGGAACAGGATTTCTATTGCTATTTCATCGAAACCTAAGATGAAATCGTTCAGCAAGGTCCGAGAGTCAAGTGTGGTAGCATAATAAGGCCAAAGTGGGTTAAAATAAGACGCGAGCACCACAGTTTCCTCCAACTTGGTAGCAGGGCGATACTTGTGAAACGAACCAAAGACAGACGGAATTCTTGCATAATCGTAGCACACTTCATGCAGATCGTGGGTTCCATCGTCAGGCCAGTAGTTGTACCCGTTGCAACATACACCAGTGCCTTCCGGGCTGCGTTGTCTGTCCTTGTAGATGTTGTACATTCTTGCTATCCTATCAATCCTGTGACAATTAAGAGGCATCGCTCGCGGTGCACGCCGCAAATGGCCAGAGATGTGCACCACATGCGTGGGCTTGATGATGTTCACGATCTCAGTGAGCAATCTGAGCTCGTAATCGTCACTTGTACTGGCGAAATTTATGATGAGAGGCTCCTCCGAGCATTCCATCGCAGCAGTTTGACAAAGAACCTTAATTGCATCTATGTATTCATATCGCATGCGCAGTAGACATGGCTTCCCAATTAAAATTGATTTGATATCCTGGGGTAAACATAGCTTAGAATTAACAAAATCTAGAAGGTTGGCATACTTGTACTTCAATCCACGAAGAATATTAGCGTGGTCACAGTTCCTGAGTATGTGGGAAATACCGTACTCGAACGCCTGCCCAAATACAGGTTCTGTGTAACGCGCCAGCGATACAGCGCCAGGAAGGCTTTGCATGGGGTGAGATATGTTAGCGTCCAAAACACAGACGCCTGATAATCCGGACGGATCAATTTCTGAAGACTTGCCTGAATTTTCAGCAAATGCAGACTTGGGTGACTCAGAAAGAGCTGAAGTCTGAGGCGACGATGTGAACCCTGAACACTGCAATGGCTCTTTGGTGTCTGATGAATGAGATGACTGAATACCTGGAGGCTGAGACAACTCATCAATGCATTCAGATTTAAGCTCGTCGTTGAGACCTGCAGTATCACAATGCTGCTCAAAGAACGGTCTGTATTTGCAGCTTGGGGCTTGAGGCCTGCTACCGTATTTGCCGCCGTCACTCATGCGCTCCAGCATACAATTGATGAGGTAGCGCGTGAAGGTTTTCTTGCCAGTCCTGGGAGCTCCAATCACCAGAACTCGCACTGCCAACCAAATCAACAATAAATTACTTATATTTATATAAGTAAAAACGATATAAATTGATGCTGACAGCTGACCCCTTTTGGGGAATAGAATTATTTTATAGTTATAAACGCTAGATATTCTTTGAAATATTAGTTTGTTAAGAGATAGAATTTTAATCTCAACTCATTTACTGCCAAACAATAAAAATGAATGATTCAACAAAAAAGAGCATCACAATCCAAACTAAGTTCAATTGAACCCACAAGGATCAGTAATTTATGCCTACTTAGAAATAACAGTTTGTAACAGAGTTTCTTTGGCCATGCAAATGCGCTAGGATCGCAGTGGCAGTTTGATCCTACATAAAATGAGACAACTTACGAGGAGATTTAGAAGTGTTTTTCCTTGAGAGGCAGCTTGCCAGGTGATGTGCAGTCTGCGCAAGTGGTTGTTAATCAGGATAAGACAACTGAATCATAATAATATGAAAGTGTGAATAAAATGCATGACACAACCTTGATGGTTTTCCTAATGTGGGTTAGAACTTATGATAGTTTAACGTAATACTAATACGTTAATACTTGTTTCACTGTTCAATTAATCCTTCATATGACGGCTATACATGAAAGTACTTCTCTAGGGCTCAAGTATTAGACAAAATTGAATTTAGTTTCTCAGTAGATTGTTACAGTGCGCCACATAGTGAACATGATTTAGTATTCAAAGAAGATTAATATAAAAAATTATCAATCTTACATAAGGTTAATCAAGGCACACTCGCACTTCAAAAATTCAGACATAAACAGGAAACTCTCATTTCCTTGAAGAGTTTAGTAATTTAGAGTTTGATCACAACATGATTTGTTATATTACGGTAACTCAACTTAGATAACACGTCATTATTGTCTTAATAATCAAGAACAACCAGAAGTGGAAATTAATAATGTGTCATCCAAAGAAAAATCTCAAATAATTATTATGATTAACATGTCAGAGGAATAATAAAATAATATATGAGGCTTCAATCACTTCCCTCATTGCATCCTTCAGTAACATCGCTCATGAGAAAATATGTACCTTTATCCAAGATGGAGGCACATATAAGGGCATATTCATGACAGTTGGTACATATTTGTAAGGGTCATTGAGACTCAGTGCTACACAGGTCTTGTCATGTTTAGCACGAGTGCAGTAGACCAAAGGTGTTAATGCGTCAGCAGACACCTCGTCGGGGTACAGCTTCATCATAGCGCGTGTGAGCAGCAGCAAAGGGAATTCCCTCAACCTCAGGACCACCATAGGCTCACCCTGAGAATGGAAATGATAAAGGCTTCAAGTCTGTATACTATTAATGCAAGAAAATAAACTTTATATTCTTACTTCAAAATAGATACCGTAGTACAATTTTGGAAATGATTGAGCAGCATGACAATTTATAAGATTAGAGCAAAGAAGCACATACGTATATATAAAAATAAAAAAAATATCTCAAGAATATTTAGTTAAGCTATTTGATATAAATTCAATGTTAAAATATAAACAAAGCAAAACAGTTTAAAAGTTACTTGATCCATATGACAAACCACTGTAATTAGTAACAAGCATTAGTCTTGACACTTACCATTGTTAACTTGAGGAAATCCCATTTTTTCTCACTGGCCAAAGTTCCATGATTTGAAATGAAAAGCTGCATCAATTTTTCTTTGAAATCTTCAGACACAAAACTTCCCGCTGAATCAATTTTCCTTCCTTGTATTGAGTCATCTATATCCTCTTGGAAAGCTATAAATTCTTCTAATTCTTTGTTTCTGTCAGAAATTGATGACTTTGATTCATGACCATGAACAATGATTGGAGGACCGCATTCAGGAGCAAATATTGGAATGGAATCACCAGCCTTAACAGAATAGCCAAGAACAGTGATACTACCAAGTAAACAATCTACAATGGCACAACCACGCACAACTAAATTGCGTGATGGCAACATTGATACAAGAATGGAAATTTCACCTTCATTGGACTTGAGAAAACAATGGCCATTCACAGAGCTTCTGAAATCTCTAATGGAGATGGGGAAAACTTCTTCTGAACTTAGGTTTGAATTTTTTGGATATTCTATCCATTGGTAATTTCCTTGCTGCTCATTGAAATCAGGAAGCTGCAGATGTCCATGCGTATTGTCTTCAGTGTTCAACTTGACGTCCAGCTCATTGTCACTGGCACCGTCAAAATTATGCTTGGGATGGCAACTGACAGGGTTGCTGTAAAATGGGCATGCAGAAACATCATTCACAATTTCAGCGGCACTTGACAAGTCCAGGTTTGCAGCATCTTGCCGTTTCCTCTTCTTGGCAGGAAATGCCAATGTTTTTACTTCCCCAAATTTCCTGTTGAGAAAAAACAGCATAAATAATGATAACTTAGTAAATAATATAAGCTTCAAATAAGTTATTTAGTTATAGTCTTCTGAGGGTTTGAATGAAATTGAGCTAAGAGTTATCAGACAGAAGCTAGCCACTCAGGCAACAAGCAGAGAGAAGTCATAAGTTATGAATATATTTTTCCATAATTGGATAAATTGAAACATTCAAAGACAGTTGGCTCATATTGTTACATTCATTTGATGCTTGAATAGCTGATAAAGAAGGAATATAAAAGCCAAAATAATGCTGCTAAATTTTAAATTCTTTTTATTTAAACTTATGAGAGTCTAGCTTTACCAATGGTGTAGTGCTAATGGAGCAGGACAAGTGTTGCTTCACTATTGGCCTAATAGTATGTAAAAATATCAACATATATTGGATGTACATGTGTAATATATACAATACATAAACTAATTGGAATATTGGGTAGAATTTTCAAAAAAATTGTAAGTCATTTTGACCCTTTTGCGTAATAGCATAGAAATGTGCGGAAATTTGAATTTCTGGAGACACTACAAGAAAGCATGGACAATTATAAGATAGATTTACTTGCATTCTTTTTCAAAATTTTCAAATGCAAATTTTCTTTTAAAAAATCACCTATCAAACAATCATTTTTACCTGTAATTTTAGGAAACTTCTGCTTTTTAGATAATTTTGATACTTCTGTAATTTCAGGAAATATTCCAAATTAGATAAGATGAAATGCCCATTTGTGCTTTACCATGCTTCCACTGTGCAGAGTGTGGACGAATATTGCAAGATCTTTGGCGACATTTCAGTAGCAAAATTTACGCCTTCAGAAGATCTTGCCAACACATTTACATTGAAATTCATGCATTTAATATATTTAGAATAGAATAGAAATGTCGGCACTGAAGAAATAGGCCAATGGCCTGTTGCTGATTCTTGAATTTTTCGTGACTTGATTCACAAGGGATCCGGCTTTTGGAACCCAATCTTTCCATAACTGACAATTGATTGAGATAGCTGCTGGACTTATTGCCTGGTCCATAATTTGCTAGGCATTTTAAGACTGAACATATGCTCCTGCATAGCTTCATCTAGTCTGTTCTTGAAGGTGTTCATACTCAGAGCGTCAACAATACTATCAGGGAGGCTGTTCCACATGTTGGTGACTCGAAGCAAGAAGAAATGTTGTCGCATGGATGTGTTNACGGAGCCTCGTGATGAAGCTCATCCAACATTGATTCATCACTGGTAAACACCAGGTCTAGAATATTGGGAGTCTGTTTACTTCTATAATGGGTTGGCTTAGTAACGTGCTGGACTAGGAAGGAGTCTCTCACAGACTCCATGAACAAGGATGCTGGGTGATTCTCAATCTCATCCCTTGGAGAGGATCCATCTGTCCAGTCTAGCTCTGGATGATTAAAATCACCAACAATCAACGTGCGCACGTGTGTGACCTACAGAAGATAGATTTCCATCTGTTCTAGATTCTAGACCATGGATCCATCTGTCCAGTCTAGCTCTGGATGATTAAATTTTTAAAATCACCAACAATCAACGTGTGACCTACGGAAAGATTTGTCAGTCTTCAGCCAACTATTAAAAAAAGTAAGGTTTCCGGTATGTTGGATGGATCAGAATGCAGTGAAGCTTGTCCAGAAATCAGTTGCAATGAGTTCCCGCCAAAAAATGTAAACATCAAGTTTACGATTAGGTACGTAGTTGCAGTCACATTAGAGCGGTCAGACTGCATTATCACAGGTTCAGTAGACACTTGCTGTACAATCAGACTGTTTTTAGGGTAAAATTAGTTATTTGGGGTAGGTCGGGAAACAGTGACGCTGGGTTCATGTCTTGCGGAGTAAGTAAGGTGATGACGCATTACCGTTTGGTACAGTTCACATGTGCGGCAATGCAGTGTGGTCAGCGGACACTTAGGATAACAGCATGTGTAAGAAGTGATGGTATGGGTTATAAAGCATTGAAGAACAACGTATTGACCGTTAACTATGTGCAGTAGCAACTTGTGGCTGAAGCAGTGTTGGTTTAAAGTTAGTGTGGTGAGATAGGTCAATTGACTACAGCTGCTTAGATGCCAGGATGACAATATCTACAGCATTTAGATGGTTGATGTTGGCTCCAGGGCTGATTTGAGCGTTAATTTGCTGGTCTACGGCTGCGCACCCCAAGATACTTGTCTGGTCTACTTATAGGACTCAAAAATGAACTTGAGGAAGAGCCTAAAAAATGCTCTGCTTTGCCACTATGGGCACGTGTGTGTCTGTGTGACCTACGGAAGATAGATTTCCATCCGTTCTAGATTCTAGGCCATGGATCCATCTGTCCAGTCTAGCTCTGGCTGATTAAATTTTTAAAATCATCAACAATCAACCAACTATTAAAAAAAAGTAAGGTTTCCGGTATGTTGGATGGATCAGGATGCAGTGAAGCTTGTCCGGAAATCAGTTGCAATGAGTTCCCGCCAACATAGTGACAAACCACAGATTTTTTAGAATCAGTTCATTTATAATTTCCTCATTTACTCAAGAATTTAATCAATTTCTTATGTATGATAATGCTGGTATCCATGATACTTTACTGGTCTACTTATAGGACTCAAAAATGAACTTGCGGGAGAGTCTAAAAAACTCTCTGCTTTGCCACTATGCCCGCCAAAAAATGTAAACATCAAGTTTACGATTAGGCATAGTGGCAAACCAGAGCTTTTTTTAGAATCAGTTCATTTATAATTTTCTCATTTGCTAAAGATTTAAACCAATTTCCTAAGTATGATAATGCTGGTATCTAGGATACTTTACTGGTCTACTTATAGGACTCAAAAATGAACTTGAGAGAGAGTCTAAAAAACTCTCTGCTTTGCCACTATGCGATTAGGTACGTAGTTGCAGTCACATTAGAGCGGTCAGACTGCCACTGCATTATCACAGGTTCAGTTGACACTTGCTGTACAATTGGACTGTTTTTAGGGTAAAATTAGTTATTTGGGGTAACACATGCATGCAACCTTTTAAATAAGTTTGTGGCTTGTAAATAGTATTTCATTACTCAGCATAAATGGCTTTTCATTAAAAATTACCCGGTGACGCATCTTAAACTTACCCGGCAACGCTTAGGGCTTAAAAACCCATAGTAGATTGGCGACGCTGCATCCACCCTCTGCACCCTGGCCAATCTGAGTGGCCATGCTTGCAGTA